GGGGTTTTTGTCATTTCTCCTTTTAACTATATTTGCTTGACACTGATTTACAGTGTTAATGCCTCAACTGTATGGCAGAATGATAAGGATGAAAATTAATGTAAAATTACTCCATGCTCTCAGAAGCTAATGATCTTCTTGAAAGAACAAGAACTCACATGGGATGATCAGACTATGTTTTGCAGAATCTCTTCTCAGATTAGGGCAAGTGATCTGCTTTGGTATCTGTTGAAGAAATGACCCAAGGCCCAGACCATGAGCTCATCAAGGACATGTGGAACCCAAAACGTAACGTGGCCCAAGCTATGTGCTGATGGAAAACCATCACACATTCCTGCTTTCTCCAGCTGTATGGGCCGCTCCCTGCTTACATTCTCGTCCTCTTCTTCTCAGCTTCTAGTATTGTCGCGAGAGTCCTCTTTTTGTCACAATATATACTATTCATACTCTCACACCCACATGATTTCTTTCTACTTTATCTTTTAACCCGCCTCCCAAATTTATAAACCTAATTCCCATCCTCTTGAGGTCTATTCTCATGCATCCCACTGCCTCTTTACCTGAGTACCAGAGTGTCTACATGAATTTCAAACACATTTCTTTTTCTTTGCCTCCAAATGCTTCTCTCAGTTCCATCTCTTAAAAATACATGAGTAAGAAAACTGCAGAAGGCAAAACCTCAGATAAAAAGAGACTACCATATTTGTTTGTTTTTGCTGTCTCTGCCACCATGACATGAGCTCCCGGAGGCCAGGAGATGTTCACTGTTTTCACCCTAATGACTGGAAGTGGCTGGCATTGAGAAAATCTTGGTGAATGAGTGACTTGCTATCTTGTTTGCTTCACATGTTTTGCTATAAAATGATACTTTGAATTTTGTAATCAAAACCTAAAATGCATGCTTATAGAGACAAGAAATTAAAAAGGATGAACCCATCTGGAAAGACAGGCATAGGAGGCAGAGCCAAAGAAGAGAATGGAAACATGAGGACAAGTGGACAGTTAGGCACATTCTGCTGGGCAGACAACCTGGGACTCTCATGAACACTAGAGCCCACAAAATGTCCCAAGCAAGATCCCGAGGTGCCAAGCAGTTACTGCCACGGATTCTGTGTGAAGCCCACTCCAGGAATGAAAGAGGCTTCTCCAGTGGGAGTGGACTCTGCAGTTGGGTGCAGCCCTCATGGGCACTGATTTTTATGTGAAGAGGAAGCTGGCAGTGCTGCACAGAGAGCAAAATACCTGCCAGTTTTCCCCAGTGACTGTGTACTCAAGACTTCTAGGGAAAGATTGCTGGGTCTTCTATCATTCCTAGAACAACATTTGCACTTTGGACTAAGGAAAAAAAAAAAAAAAACAATTGGACCATTTTCATCTTCTTGGCTGTACCAAAGAAAGAGCATAGAGAAAAGTACAACCAGTGTGTTCCCCTTCAAATGGGACTGATGTAAATCTCCTTGGCATAAACGTGCCAATGGCCACAGCTTTGAAACTACCCCTCCCCAATCCCAGTATAAATCTCCAAGCAGCCAATTCATATGCCCAGAAGGCTGTGCCTCTCTTACAGAATAGCAACCAATAAAACTCCAAACTTTAAGCCACTGACCTTAGAGATTTAAAATGAGCCATTAAGTCATTCACAAAACTCCTTCATTTCCACTAGGGCAAGAGCCTTTAAATTTCTCTGGTTTTAAGATTGACATTTTCTTAATTAAACAGCTTTCCACCTGGGAATAGATGCCCTCTAGATTTTTCCAACAAACCCTATAGTAATTATGTGAATTAAAAAAAGAAAAACACCAATAACTGTGCTTGAAAGTTTGGGCCATTCTATCAGGTAATTTATATTTTGAAAGAGTACACGTATTTTTCAACTTCAGATTTATCAAAAAATGTGACCTCGTTGATATTTCAGGTCCAGTGTCAAGTATTTGTTTGGCGGAGAAACCTTTTCTCCTAGCTCCCCGAACACCCATAACATCTCAGGATTCAGGTCCTGAGTTGCTCCTACTCTGAACACTGAGGCAGAGGACAGTTTGTTTTCACTATTCTCAGAGACTGAATGTAGCTGAAACTGAACCCAGGATGAATGTCTGCAAGGGGAAGGGGAAAACATGACCTCAGAGTGAATACTGCGCGGGTGTTTGCCGCAAATATGATAGAAGGGCCTTTGTAGGCAGCATCACAGAGCAGGAGACGAGGCCTCCATCCATTGGAAGACTGAAAATCTCAATCAGGTGTTTCCCCTCTTTCTTTTTTTCTTCAATTCCTCTTAGGCAAATGATTTTTTAGAGTAACACAGCGATGTCTTGAGTTCAGTAACATCCAGTACGTGTTACTTTGTGCAGCCGAACCAGGCGCCTGTGGTGGAAACCTCGCCTGCTTTCTGGTGTGCTCTCCCAGCGCTTTTCCAGGTATTTGGGTCTTGGGTCACGGAAGCTGTAGGTTAAGTGTGGATCTGACCCTGTAGGGCACAGCTTTCTGGCTGTCTCCTTACATTCACTCCAATTCTCATCAAATAAAGACTCCTGGCCTCATTTCTCCATAGATTCTTTCTTTCACTCCCACGAACTACTGTGCATTCAACGTCAAGTCAGTGAAACCTGGAAGTAGCATTTCTAAAACCTACTTTAAATTTTAATTTGTTATTATTATTTTAACCTTTGTCTGAATCAACATCAATTTCTCTGTCTCCAAATTTGGACCCAGGTCAGTGCTAAGTGACAGTATCTTTCTTGGATTACAACACGTGTAAAGATTTAAATGGAGGACTTTTTAATACAGAACTCTTAAATCATGGACTAGAAATTGAGAATCTTTGCAAGCTATAAATCTTACAGGCTTCTCTAGAAAGAAGTTGTGAATCTGTTCCTTAATGGTTCTTGTTGAGCTTGTGCTTCTCAGAATTCCAGGCAACAACAGTAAGGGCTGCAGGGTTTTTTTGGTTTTTGTTTTGTTTTGTTTTGTTTTGTTTTTGTTTTGTTTTTGCGTACCCACGTAAGGGCATGAAGACGGAAAAATTCTTAGCAAGCAAGAGGAATCCGGCTTTTGGTTCTGTTCAGGTATGATGAACGGAATCCGAGAATCCCGCTCGGACCTTCTCCGCATGTGTTTAGCGCGCCCTCTAGTGATTGAAACTCGCAGAAGGGAAGAAAGCTGGCTCCCAGGAAAATAGAAGTACTGGGCTGTTCTCTGGACTAGAGTAGTTTCCCTTTTAGGTCAGCCTCAGCTTGTTAAATAGCTGTGATTTAATCTTAGCAGTGCACAGGCTATGAACGTTATATACAAGTTGGGATGTGTGGAACATGACATATTCAGGAAAAGGAGAAAAGAGTTTGATAATCTACCGAGAAAAGCAAAAGTACAGCTATATAATGACTCAGAAAATAAGACTCTAGAGATGCATTAGTTGAGCAAATAATGAGACCCTCCTATGAACATGGGAAACACAAAAGAGAATTAAAGGAACAAAAGATAGCAAAGATGAGGGTGGAAAAATGAAAGGAAGCAGGGCAACATTTTGCCTCATAGACAGTGCTGACCTAGGCTCCAGTATCAGAACTACTACTCGCCTTTTGTGCAAAAGTAGGCTATTTAAATTCACCGAGCCTTAGTTCATTCATCTCCTTAGTGAAGACTGCCTTACAATCCCTTGGAACGCTCTAAATATAAGAATATACAGAAGGACCAAACCCAAGGTTCACATGGAAATGCTCACTAAATGGTAGTTGCTGGTAGAGAGAAGAGATTGGGGGAAGGAAAAGGAAAGGAGAGAAAAAGAAAGAGTCCCAGAAAGGGACAATGCAGAGCACATTAAAAAATAATGATAGAGGAAACTGCATTGTCCACTGTCCAGTGAGCACAAGGAAGTGGATCGGCTTAACAGTTAACCTTGTTCATGTATCCTCAAGGTTCTGAGCAGTACTGGAACAGGGCTTCCCTTCTCACTATCCCTTCTCACTACCCTTTGGAGTTTTCCACCTTCCTGCAAGACTTCCTCTGTGCCATGCTCAGTCCTTAGTTGAAAGAAAGGCAAACAGGACATGGGGATATGGGGAAGAACAAGGGAAGCAACCCAGAGTGAGGTCTTATCCTGTGAGAGAAGCTATTAGCATGGCCAAGCTTGTAAAGAGACTTCTGAGAAGCCAAGCTGCCACTGTCTGTGACACTTAACCCTGGCTCCAGGAGGCTAGAAGAAATGTCTGTGAACATGAAGCATCTTCCCTCCCACACTACAATCTCAATGCCAATGGCAGACGCAGGAGGGAGAAGCCCAAACTGCCTCAGTCTCTCCTTTAGAGCCTGAAATGCCTACTTGTAAGGATTGTCTAAAGCCAGCCAGATACCGAAAGCCACTTGAAGGCAACACACACACACACACACACACACACGCACACACACATCCCCCAAGAAACCCTTTTGTTTGCCGTCTGTAGCCAGAGCATTGGCAATCAGAATGCCCATTCACCGACAAAATGTAATAGCAACCACAATCTCCAGGGACAGCAGCCATTGCCTGAATTTCTGACCTTTCACCAGTTTCCTCCATGCCAAGGAGAAACCCGGATCAAGAACACAGTAATATGATCCCCAATTAGCATAATATAGAGACAATCTAGTCAGGTTTTCCGTGCCCTTATCCAACCTCAAACAAGCATAAAGCAGGAGGAAAGAGATATAAAAGTATATATGAGTGGAATTAGAAATAGATATTCACTATCTGGTATGCACAACCAAGCTCTGAACACAAATGAATGTCTGCCTTGAGGAAAACCCAAGCAGCCAGAAGCAGAAATCTGAGACTCACCCCCACCCCCCAAGTGCACTGTGAGAGGAGACAGGCAGAGAAGTTGCCCTGATTACTTGGCATGAAAGGGGTTAAGTCCACAGTGATTCTATCCTAAAGTGATTCCTGACATGGTGAAGTTTCAAAACTTCCCCCCAGCTGGGGGGTGCAGGCCCTCCCTTCTCACAGAGTCCGATCTGGATGTGCTGAAATGGGAAGGAGGTGTGTTCTGCTGATCTGTTAAATTCTTAGTGAAGTTTCCTTGATTCCTAGTGGCTGATGCTGTTTGAGTTTGGTTTGGAGCAAAACTAAGGTAGTCCTGACATTTCTGGGACTGCATCCAGACAAGAGGAAGAAGAAAAAGAAGGAGGAGGAAAAGAGAAGGAAGAAAAGGTAGGGAGAAGTGAAGAGAGACCAGAAGTGTAGGAAAGGGGAGAAATCCTTTTTCAACATCACATTCCTGCGTTTTCCCTGAGCCTGGAAAACATATTAATCCCAGCGCTTTTACACCCGGAAACAAAGGGACAAAGCCAAACTGTGGGAGAAAGGGTGATAAGAAGGATCCTGGAACTCTACAGAGGGAAAAAGCAAGCTTTAGACATCACCAGGACTCCACCGTAAGGAAAGTTTTGTGTCACTATAAGGGACGGGCACACAGAGACACACAAGATCGAGGAGAAACTGCAGACAAATGGAGACACAAAGACTGACAAGGACAGCACCTTTCACCTCTTCCCACTCGTCCAGAAGGTAAAAAGTCACAGCCAGAAAGGAGAGAAGTTGGGTCTGCTCTCTGACCAGGACAGGCTGTGATCTGCAGCGTGAACTGGAGCTGCAGCCCACCCGCTTTGTATTGCTCACCCTCAGCCGGCCAGCTGGGAGAGAAAGGGTTGAGAAGGAAAGTGTTTCATCTGGGAAACTGTCCTGGGGACCAAACTTCAGATTTCTCTCGGAATCCTTTCTGCCTTATGAGTCACCATGTAAGTGTGCAATCCTGTCTGCATTTGGTGTGTTTGTTTCTTTGTTGCTTATTTGAAGAAATGAAATGTGAATGTTCACATAGGTAATATGCTCAGTTTGTATTTTCACTGGAGCATCCAGAGAGCGAGTGAAACAATGTGAAAAAAAAAAAAAAAAAAAAGATTCCCTGCCTGGGAATCTAAATTGACTTTCCTGCATGATGTTACTGTCTCTGATAAGTGCTGACAAATTACAGAGGCTTAAAAGCAGCAGGATCTAATCTATTTTTCATTTTCTAACCTCCCTCCTTTTTCTTCCCTTTCCCCTCCCCTTGGCAAAGATAGAGAAAAGATAAGGACCAGCTTTGTTTGCAATTAAATGATTTTCTTTCTTTTTCCTTCTCTCCCCTTTTTGGCTTCTGACCCCTCAGCACCCTGAAGCAAATTAGACAATGACGCGGAGAATGGGACCAGGTCTGGCCATGCTGTTGGCAGTGTGGCTGGTGTGTGGGTCAGAACCCCACCCCTCTGTCACCAATAGAGCCAGCCATGGAGGGCGGAAAGTGCGTTTGGCCTCCCTGGTGAGCAGCCGGCCAGCTCGGTTTCTGAGGCACACGGGGAGGTCCCGCGGAACTGACAAAGCTACTTTGGAAGAATTAAATCCTCAGCCCCTTCAAAGAAGGAGGAACGTGCCAGTGTTGAGGCTAGATCGCCCCACGGTGCTGCCACCCCCATTAGGCATCCGCAGGGCTCCCTTGAGACCTGAGGTGAGATCCACAGCCAGAAGCGCCCTGCGTGACATGGTTCGAGATGAGGGATCCTCCTCTCGGTCAAGAGTGTTGCGTTTCCCCTCTGGCTCCAGCTCGCCCAACATCCTTGCTGGCTTTGCAGGGAAGAACAGGGTGTGGGTCATCTCGGCCCCCCATGCCTCCGAAGGCTACTACCGCCTCATGATGAGCCTCCTGAAGAATGACGTGTACTGTGAGCTGGCCGAACGGCACATCCAGCAGATCGTGCTGTTCCACCAGGCAGGTGAGGAAGGGGGCAAGGTGCGAAGGATCACCAGTGAGGGCCAGGTCCTGGAGCAGCCCCTGGACCCCAGCCTCATCCCAAAGCTGATGAGCTTCCTGAAGCTAGAGAAGGGCAAGTTTGGCATGGTGCTGCTAAAGAAGACCCTGCAGGTGGAGGAGCGTTACCCTTACCCCGTGAGGCTGGAGGCTATGTACGAGGTCATCGACCAAGGTGCCATCCGCAGAATAGAGAAGATCAGGCAGAAAGGTTTTGTGCAAAAGTGTAAGGCCGCCGGCGTAGAGGGCCAGGTGGTGGAAGAGGGGAGCAGTAGTGGAGGAACAGCAAGCAGACCAAGCCTGGGCAGTGAGGCAAGGAAGGAGAACTCAAGGAGAGCACAAGTCTCCCCAACCAGAGAGACTAGGGTAAAGGTGATGAGAAAACTGGCTACCACCACTGTGGCTCCTCCCTCACCTCCACCAACCCCAAGGGCTACCACGTTTCCTCCTGCCTCAGCCACAACAACTGTGCGGGCCACGGCCAGGGTGGTCACAGTAGCTGCGAGACCTCTGACCACCACAACCTTGCCAGCCACCCAGAGGCCCTGGACTCCCTGGGGGCACCCCTCCCCAGCCTCCCACAGGCCGCCTGCAACCACAGCTGGGGTGACCACTGAGAAGGGGCCCTCAGTCTCAGAGAATCTTTACCCTCCACCCAGAAAGGAACAGCAGAGGGAGAGGCCACAGGCCACCAGGAGGCCCAGCAAGGCCACTGGCTTTGACAGCCACACAGTCACCCCTCCCACCACCTCAGAACCCAGCACAAAGGCTGCTGGCCCAGGCCGTTTCCAGGACAACCACACAGATAGGCGGGAACATGGCCATCGGGACCCAAATGTGGTGCCGGGTCCTCACAAGTCAGCAAAGGGCAAACTTCCCAAAAAGAAGGTCCAGGATAAAATTCTTAGCAATGAATATGAGGATAAGTATGAGCTCAGCCGACCTACGGCCTCTCAGCTGGAGGAGGACCTGCAGGTGGGGAACATTCCCTCCCAAAACGCAAAGGAATCTAAAAAGCACGAGAAACTGGAGAAACCTGAGAAAGAGAAGAAAAAAAAAGCAAAGAATGAGAAACCAGACAAGGCATTCAAGAGTGAAAAGCAAATAAAGAAGGCTGAGAAAAAGAACAAACAGGAAAAAGAGAAGAGTAAAAAGAAAAAAACAGGGAAAACTGAGCAGGATGGATACCAGAAACCCAGCGGGAAACAGCCCCCACCAAGTCCCAGAAAGTCAGTGACTGACCTGCTGGCATCCTTCGAAGGCAAACGCAGGCTCCTCGTAAGTAATCTTCTTGGCTTTGTTCTGTGGGCAGAGGCAGGGCATAGTTGTGTTTGTCTTGTGAGTTTTGTGCATGCCAGACTGTGGCTGAGCCAAAGCTTAGAAAGTTTGACAAGAGAGGACTTCCAGGCCAGGAGCTCTCTTCAGTGAGATGGTTCTATGGACCTCTAGCTAGCTCACAGCTGCACAGCACAGAGTCTGTCCCTGGATAGGAAGCAGTGGCAGCACCTAGAGTCCCCTTCTTCCAAGCCTGACAGTTCCATGCTCATCCTTCTCTCTTCCATAGTACCATTTGGGATGTAGTTTCCATTTACCAGGTCCATATACTACAGGAAAAATGGAGTTTCCTGAATAGAATGTATTGATTCTAGCCACAATTTATGAGAAGCATTTCTTTCTGCTACAACTTAGAAGCTAGATGTATAGGTATGAAGAATATGATAGTTTCTTTTCTCTTCCTAAGTAGGTATTCATCAGTACTGGAAGACTCAAAAGGGAAAATAGGGCAGATTGGGTGTGAGTGGATTTTCCTGATAGGAAAGAGGTCTTTCTTGGTGTGACCTTTATGAATAGTTTTAAAGGCCATTGGCAGAAATCTTCTCCACATAAAGACTGTGTCCTCCATCCCTGCCTGACTACCAGTAAGAGCCAGGAGGTAGGGAACTGGCTCAGGGCTTCAACATCCAGTGCTTTAGAAATATATCTAGATTTAGAGTTCACACACATCGGTTCTTCTGGAGGCTCTATAACATGAGTACGTATGTGTGTGTGCACACACGAGTGTGTATACACGTGGGAAGGAGGAGACAAGCATTCTCTGCTTCCACTTACCTGTTGTCCTGACTGCCACTAATGTTGAGCAAAATTCATTTTAAAATCCTCTTTTGTTGACCACGGTTGCCACTATCCATAGAACGGTATCACAGTCTAGTTAAATCTAAGGAGGCCTTTGGGCAGGAATAAGCCATCTTTTAGTTAAGAACAATTATTAGCAGTGATACAAAGATGACTTTCTTTCTTCTTCATGTCTCCTGTCTCACTCTTCTAGGGATGGTCCCTCACTTCTTCTT